GAGGAAATGGCGGGGGGGAAGCTGGTGCGGGTCGGGACAGCGGTTTCCTGAGCATGCTGGATTTTGCGTTGAATCGGGCATGTGCAGCCAAGGCGAGTTATCTATATGGCCCTGTTTCATTGGGCACACAAACACGGGCACATACTTAGGTATGTGTGTTATGTGCACGCACATATTTACATATGTGCAGCAAATGTGGCAGAATAACACAAGAAAAGAAATAAAATCTCTTGATTAAGGCAACTGGATGCCGCTATGATAACTGGGTCCTGGTCCTACTTGTGCTACACTGTTTAATGGAGGTTCTTCAAACTGTTCAGACCAACCAGTCATACTGGGTCACGTGTTTCGTTCCCATTTTTCTGGAACCTCACTGGACTCGCTGCTGAACAATCATAACTGCAGCTGAACTCAAGGGAAGCACTTTCCCTGCAAGGGCAGATGCTTTGGACTTGACTGAAGAAGTAAAAGGCAGACACAACTCAGTAGAAACCATATAGACAGGGGAAGCGCTAATAGACAAAAGATAGCTGACAATTTTGAGAAACCCCTTAGTTCTACAAGCCTGTGAGAAATAATCACAATCAGTCTTCAAGTTTCTTGGAAGGTGCCGATTAAATAAGATTTAAGGTACTGAGAAGTATAACAAAGACGTTGTCCTTTTCCCTTGCTCTATTTACTAGGGTTTATGAAACCAACAGTGTCCACCATCCAGTGAATTTGTTTCCTCCCTGTCCTATGACTGTTCCTAACAGTGTTAGTTATCACCCTTTCAAACCACAAGGTTCTAAAGTTCGTGAGCGCTTTCATTTTTTGTGCCCGCCTGAGAGGCGTCCAAGTATTTCCGTATGCTCCTAGCATGACTGCAACTACAATGCAGCAACGCAGTGATTATTAAGAAGCAGGTAGTTCACTCAAAGTTGTAAACAGCTAAAAATATAAGTCAAATATGTGCTTTACACACCTTTTCTGCCTATAAGGAAAATTTCTGTTTTAATTAAGAGTAGTGAATTCCTAGCCTTTATGGCAACGTGATCTGAGCCAGAAAAGCTCACAAAACAGAAAGTAAATGTGAAAAAAAAAAGCCTTTATTAGTATTAATTTGTAAGCCTAATCATTTTAAAGCTACAAATGTATAAAAGTTTAAAGTTGGCAGCGCTGTGAAAGTGGAAGCCGCAAGATCATCACCAGCTACAGATACAGAGTTGTGTTCAGAATGGAGGGCTTGGTCTAGGGTATGCTATAAACAGGTTAATTACACGCCGAGCTTAAAGGAAGAACATGAAGATGCTGACTCTTCCCCAAAATCGGACATCATTTCTGTTTTAAAATGAGATAAAATAGTGTTATTTTTTAAGGAAATACATTTGCTGTAATGTCTGACTGGCCTAGAGTTTGAATAGCTTATTTCATAACCTCCTACTGTGATTGCGTAAATAGTTATAGGAAGATAATAAAGTAATGCCCCAGTCCAAAAAACTGACCTCTCAAAAAACTGACCTCCTAAGTCCTTTTTGTCATGTACCGAAAAGTAATTTTTAAGATACAAAAGGGGAAGTTCTAATAACACCAAGGTCAACTTGAAAATTGCCATCGACTTCATTGCAGCTAGGATGTCATCTAAAATACTAGGAACTGTACATCAAGTTGGAAAGCCATAGAATCTTATTAAAAACTAAAAGAAAAACAATCAAAGCTCCCACTAGCTCCATGGATATACATACGCTTTAGTTGATATAAACATACCTAGTTCAGGATATGATGTGCAAGTCCTAGCTCAAATTGATGGGATTACTCAGGCATGAACTGTTTTTGTTCCTAAGCACTGCAGGACTAAATCTTTATTGTAGGGAGGTTTATTTTTTCATCTTCCTCTCTCCGCTTCTGAGAATTAATACTGTAACAAGAAAAAAAAATCTCGGTTTACACAGGTTTACAACATTACATGCTCTGCTGCAGGTTAATTTAAAAATTCAGTTCCCATAAGTAGTTTTGACAGACGCCTAGGTAGTTTCCTGAATGCATGTGCAGAGGAAGGCCCCTTTGCACTCTCTTGTGGATCTTTCTTCAGGCTCTGCGCTCTTTTCACCCTAGAACAGACGTTGAACTCAGTCCTAAGCGTTGTATTTTCTGAACTCTTTGGAGGAGTGAAGTGCGTGCTGGAAGTTGGATCTTTGTTCTTGGCTTTTTTGTTTTCTGCCTTACGAAAATAAAATGGCATTATAGGAAACCTTCTGGCATGCTGGGCCTTACCCACAAAGCTTTTGGACTCTGCAAAAAACTCTCCATTGGTCTTACTGGTCAGACATACGGAAAGAACCTTGTTCCCCAAGCCCTTCGATGAGCTCTCAGAGTGAGGTCACGTGCTAGCTCTCACGGGACCGTGAGTGTCATCGTGATTGTATTTTCACTTTCTGTATATAATGATTTTCACCTTTATTTAAGTAATGTCTCTAATGTGATTAAACAATTTTGGACACTCATTCTGCGTGGGCTAGCACTTAACAGCTCTTTGTGCACTTTACTGTCCACTCAATAGAATAAACCGGATAATAAAATTACATCTAAGCTACTGTGAAGTTTAGAAGCCGTTTTCAGAAGGGTGCTACTTGCAGTGCTCATGCAGTTATGTGGAAGCACACGCTCACGAGATCAGCACCTTGGTATTCATACCTTTTTTTCATAGGACTAGTATCATTAATCTTGCAAAAGTAACTATTGAAAGGGAAAAAAATCAAACTGCAGCAGAGGTACACTAATGTAAACTAATGTAGTTGTGACCTGGATGACAACAATGCATTTTCTTTTCCCCCCATTTTCTCTCTTATGAGCTATGTTTCACGTAGACTAAAACTACATTTTCACATTTAGTCGCCGCTGGCAGAGGAAACAAATAAAAGTGAAGGCCTCAGTTACAAAAGCAGAAGGTAACTGCTAACTCCTAAGAGCTATACAAAGAACAAATTACAGACCGGAGTGAACGAAGTCTGGCATCATGCTCTTTGTGGGATGAAAGACTCCAGCCTCCGCACCTCAAACCCCTGTTTTAAAGGGAAGATTCAGGGCTACTTCCCCGACTAACACCGTCAGAAGAGCGACCACCCGAAAACCCACTCCGTCTCCACGTTTGTCAACGCGTCGGCTGACCGAGGGGCGCAGCAGCAGCAGCGGCGGCTGCTGAGCGCTACCGCGCTGCCTCGGCGCTGCGCG